AAGAGGGCCCTGAAAGGGTAAAATGGGAACTGGGATTGATCTATTTTTAGACTGGGAAAATGGGATTTGGGTTGCTGGGACTGGGATTTGGCCACTGGGAATGGGAAATGAAGTCCTCAAAAATGGGAATGGGATTGAGGTAATGCGAGTTGATTCCCAATTTTTCTACGTTTTAAGTATTTTAAAATACAATTTTGATCCGTTTTTGGTGTCTTTGGTCATGATTTTTGTTGTTAACTATATTATTCACAGCACTACCTGCGAACAGGCATACTCTGGCGCCCGGAATTCTGGGTTTTCTGATTATGCGTGTCTCAGAATGCTGCAAATGCCATTTCCGGGATTCAAATTTAAAAATTTTCCGTGCCTTCGGCACAACCCTCCCCCCTACATTTCATAAAGTGTGCGCCACTTGCACACACGGTGGCTTAAAAGTCTTAAAACTGTTTATTGTACCGATAAATAAAGGGTTTTTATTGACTGGGATTTCAATAACTCGGACTGGGATTTCTAATAATAATCCAACTGGGACTGGGATTTTGCCAAAATTTCAGGTGGGAAATGGGATTGGGACCCCTCCTTCAGGACCCTCACTCAAGTGTTCCGAAACTTATTTCCGAAGTACGCTAATTTGTTGGAAAGTTCAAAAGTTCATAGTTGAACATGAAGCATGATTGGACTGATGAGGTGAAGTAGGACGTCTGATGTATGTGTTTGTAGAATGCAAACACATACAGTAGTTCCACCTTACTGATTACACTGGATTGTTTTCAAAATCCTTACTCTGGAAATAGTATCAATTTTCATACTAATTGCAATTTCCATACTATGTATATATTATGGAAATAATAATTCCATAGTATGGATTTCGCTATTTTTCCAGTGTTAGACTAATACGTTTTAGAAAAATATGTTTTGTTTACTGTACCTCAAAAACTAAGTATACCTCGAGTCTCAAGTTTCAACCAGCTCAAGTATGGGGGCAGTGATCGAGTACCAGTAAAGTGCAAATAAGAATCTTCGCACTCTGCATATTGCCATATAGCAAATGATTAGAATGCTTATTATTAAAATCGTTTTACCTTCTTATTGTAGCTTTATTCTGTACTTGACTGGAATTTTTCAAAAGTGTAATGTAAGTTTATTTAAATATAAAATCTATATTACATGAATGATGAAGTTACTTTTTTCAGCTTTAAATTTTAAGTGGTTCTGTTAAAAGTATTTTATACTAACGAAACAGTTGAGCGAAAAGCAGCCTGCTTCTAGCCCGAACTTTCGAATGCGGAAATAACGGTCTGCTGAACTGGAAGCCTAATTGTGTACCGTGACGTAGAATTTAAACTCTTTGACACGTACAAACCTGAAATTTGTTGGAGATTTTAAGTCAGTAGATATCTACAGTGTAAAGTGACAAAGTTTCAAAAGTGAAGATCGTGAGCAAAGACATGGGCAGATAGTTTGGCCTCTCTCCTCATTGCGAGTAAAATCGTAGAAAACCGCAGTACATGTACCCGGAGAAAACTTGCGGAGGGCCATTGACTTTCTAATTCCACGTAAGTGGAAAAGCGCTTATTTTGGTGCCTTCGCGAATGGCGTTGTAGCATGTCAACATATAATTACAGAATAGGAACTATTACAGAAGGCCGACTTGTTTGCTTTGCCAACGATTTTGGCGTAACCGTTGCAATGCTGACGCCATGTCCAGTGCGCTTATGAGCGGCATTCAGCCCCGAAAAAATTCAAAAAGGCGGACGCTCAGGTGAGTGAATTAGAGTTTGAGCAAGAGAACGAAGTCGGACGACGACGACGTGGTTGACAATTTTTGCCTGTCTTGCACATTATCTTGCGCATTCTCAGTTTAGGGTCAGGAGTGAAGACAGATTAGAGATTCATGTCTAGCTGTTTATAAATGATGAACCAAATCCTTACCCTGATCAGGACAAAACAGCGAGACATGAATCCATATGCCGTCTTCGTTCTTCTGCCTTTGTTCACAACGAATATTTTGGCAAAATTCGTTGTGAACTTCGTTCCGAACGAAGGCAGAAGGACAAAGACGGGATATAGTTTCATGTCTTCAGCTGTTTTTTTTCTGGGTCAGGGCAAGAATTATGGTCAGTATTCATAAACAGCGACAGTGGGAAGTCACGTTGAGCAACCACCAGTCACGTCCAACTCAGTATGCGCAAGATAATGTGCAGACGTCAAAAATTGTCAAGTACGCCTTCGTCTTCGTACTTCGTTGTCTTGCTCAAACTCTCTAATGCCTCTCACAAGCGCACTCACAAGGAACCAGTGCCGGGAACGTAACTTGAATACGTAACATGGCGTTTCGGCAGTTACGTTCTTTTGGCTGAGTCGACTTTCTGTTTGTCTCTATTCTGTGATATATAATCGCCTTCACTGCCTGTTTTTTTTCCATTATTAGAACCACGTGACAAGTGAATATGTTATGAGTGCACTCGTTGAGATACCACCGATATTATGCAATCTGTTTATTATGGGGAAGTTCATACTTGTACTTTATAAGGAAGTTAAGGAACATGGAACATTCAAAGTGAAATTCTTTTTTCATAATGTAAGTTATGGTTTTTTCGATCCGAGATCGCACATAAGAATGGCCATATTGTTCAATATTCATTGCATAGCATCAATAATTTTTGTGCCTTTTTTGTTTTTCTTTGTTTTGGCGTATTTAAAATATATTGGCCATTGCACGTGCTCAAATTGCAAGTTTAATCTTAAAGTGCCTTTATCTTTGCTCGGGTCTCGTAATACCACTTTTCTATCTTTAAATTCAACAAGAGTCCCTATTACATCGCCACGTTAAATCCAGTAAGTTGAATTTCAATTTACGACAATTTTCAAAATACGAGCCATTAAATAAATAACAATTAGTGAAAGAGGTTGAGCCTGATATGAAGAATTATCATGTCTGAGGTTTGTGTTATCAACCGAAGCCTGATTCATCATCTCTTAAATAAAGAGTAATATCACTTGAATGGTAACCATGCGCCTTTAATGACTGTATTTAGGATGAACAGTCAGAAGTGCAAGTGAAGTTGGTCAGACCATGGTTGAAAGATTACGTTGAGGACCTTGTGAAATTAAAGTAAGAGCGTGGATGATACAAACCATGTCAAATGAGTACAACTGAAACGCTACCGCCAACCGGAAATTTGAAGCCGAACTTGAAGGCCAGTACCAGTCTTTTCACGCATGCGAAGAGCGCGGTCAATCCGTCAACATAAATATGTATTCTTGAAAACCGGCTTAAAATTTATAATAATTTTTACTGTAATAATATACATAAAGATATTACTCGACTGTGATTGGTTGATTTCAGTGCAGTTAATCCCAAACGGCAGTGCAATTTTCTGTAATCACAGTGCAATTTTCTGTAATCACAGTGCAATTTTCTGTAATCACAGTGCAAAAATCTGTAACAAACTGATCTGATTGGTGGAAAAACATTGTGATGATTAAATCAACCAATCAGTTTAAAGCAATTTAGTTTAAAGAAGTAACGGTCACAGATTGCTTCAAAACAAAACAAACATGGCGCCGCGCTACACAAAGTAAAAGTTGCCTACGCGTGGAAAATATGGCTTTTATCTTTATTTTTAAATGGAAAAGCATTTACCTTAAACAAGAGTAACAAAAATTACATAGTCGAGTGGAATTTTCAAGCTGTTAGCGGTGTAAAATGTGATGTAACAAAGCCAGGAAAACTTTGCCAGTGGAATGTTCGCTATAAACGCGTAAGTTAAAACTACAATTGTCTCGAACATTTTTATGTAAATTATTAATAAGTAATAGCATGGTTTCTCGTGAAATTTGGATAAACATGCACTCGTGAGTTTTTCAAAAACTCACTCGTGCATGTTATATTCAAATTGCACTCGAAACCATGCTATTACCTATACTAACAGCGCTCAAGCCTCAAAGCTTTCTATTAATGCATTTATTCAGGTAAAACTTTCTAGTAGACTTCACTTTTAGTTTGTTCTTATTTTTTTCTAATAATTATTTACGCGAGAGAATCGTGAGGCATAAACGCGCGTAACCTGAAGTTCAGGCCCTAATTTGAAATAGGGCCTGACACAAAACCTGTCTAGACCGTGGGACGCCCACATGTTATTTTTAGACACACATGCAATATGATTGACAAGTGTTGTAGATTTCGTTACACAAAAAAAATTATATTCTCATGAACATGTCCGCAGAGCATTTTGCTTTTTAATTAAACTTAAAAATTCAAGGTACTTTTATATAATTAAGAGTCTGTTTCTCTATTTAACCGAACAGGCGAACAGCAAACAAAGATTTAATTAGTCAGTTCTGTGCACGGCTTGACTGCCAAGCTTTCTCAAGGTCTCAACTTGCTGGACGCGGATATACTCTAACGACTAACGGGCTAATAACAGCAACAATTAAATTCTCAATCATACCACGAAGAAGGCGATGTAGCTCAGAAAACAATTACGCCGGTAGGACCTGATATTAAAAATAAGACTTTTGCCGGCGAAGCAAGTTGGCAGAACATCTTGGCTGTCAACAACAAGCTTTCGAATACAGGACTAGTTTGGCTGTTCTTTCAGCGTCGTGTGTGTCCAAAATTCGTCAAAGATTTTGATGAAGCCCTTTCAAAATACTGTTTGTTTGATTTATTTTCTGCCATAAAGCATAAAAGAAAAGAAATTCGAAGAAATCGATAATGGAATTTGTTACGTGCGTTTGACCTTTATATTAATTGTCGCCTTGACCGAGCTATTTTTAAAACTGTTGTTTATGTGAACTTGCAACCAATCAAAATCCTTCATGATGCTGATCAACCAATCAGATTTCCCGTCCACCAGGTGGACGGGAATCCCACACTTTAGATAGGTTTTGTGTCAGGCCCTATTCTGTGATAGGGCCTGAACTTCAGGTTAAGCCGCGGCAGACAACATTTTTCTGCTTGCGTTGGGTATGGAAATTATATAATACACACTCTAGAACATTTTCATCTTAATATATATATATATATATATATATATATATATATATATATATATATATATATATATATATATATATATATATATATATATAAAGATATATATATATATAAAGATAAAAAGATTAAATAAACCAGGTTTACTTCTTCCGATCCTCCTGCAAGGACCTACCTCCTGTATATAGCTCGTAGGTATCTTGATTAAATATTTTGATTGATTATATATATATTTATCTATCACTTATTTACTGAGACCGAGGGAAACAGTGTGTTTTGTAGCCTGCGAACAGGCCCTGGGTTGCGGGCGGCGCGAAGAATAGAGGGCCTGCACGGATGATAGGTTTTCTTGGTAGTGGCGTTCGTATAGAAACGCAGGCTTCTGATTGGCTTACACTCGTTGACAAAATTACTAAAAATAGCAAATGTCAACAACAGCATTTTGAAGAATTTGAACTTTATTAATTTTAATATTATATATTATAAGACTATCGAACAAATAAAACTAGAAATGGAAACCAAAAGCAATAGCAAAGCATCACAGCAAAAAGTCTATCATAAATGACTTGAATCTATCGCTTAAATCCAATATACGAAACTATAACAGCATTCTGAACTTCGTCTTCGGATTGACATCAGACTATAGTATAGTACATTTTGAGGTCGTCGTGGCTTCACGGATTATTCTCATTAGTGAGCAAGTCAGCAAGCGAAGGCATACAAAAGATACCCAAATATGTACGAATAATTATATTGTTGATCCTCGCTGGCATGTCATTTAGATAAATATATATCGTACATTAAACGTTGTACTATTTACTGTATATTAACTGCTGACAATTTCGTCGTCGATACGGCTTCCACTATTGGCACACTCGTGATTTCGAAGAAATTAATAAATACATGCTCATTTATCATTTATTTAGACCACAGTTAGTAAAATTTTAAACGTATTCGGTATTCCAAATCCCAATCTACTGACCGTATTTTAGTAATAGCTTCAAAATATTCAGAACATTGTTCTTTCAGTCGCACATAGTACAAGTATTACTGTACATTCAAAGCCAATGGTAGTTTATTCGTCTTTATATTTGTATGTGTATTGATATCTATTTAATATTTGAAGAATTCTATATTTTTCCGAGTAATATATTGTGCGGCCCGCTAATGCTTTGTATTATTGTTCATGTTGCACAATGTACACGCCTTGCGTCAATTTGACAGTTGACAGTTTATTTATCGCAGTCGACGCTGATTGGTTAACGTTTAGCAGATGCGAAAAGGGGATGATTGAATAAAACGCATGGTTCCGTGCAGGCTCACCTTTCTCCCAGTGAGCCTGTTCGCAGGCTAC